ATGTCTCTCCGTTAGTAGACCACGACTTACTTTTGTTCTCTTGTAGATTTTAAAACCAGACTTCACCAGTACAAAACCTGAGAAAAAACTAAGAAAAGAAGTGCCAAGAAACATCTCGCTAGAAGAACAAGAAGACGTCAAAGACCAAGCTCACAGTTTTAACTGTTTCCTTCAAAACAGACGGTTTAGTGTTTGTCCAAACTTTCACAAAGGAAAACTTGTATATTTGAGAGATGTTTTGGAAATGACACATGGATGATATGGGCCACTATCCTTGTCACAAGAAATCTATGAATATCTGTATGGAAAAATCTCGGATGCTCATGAAAATTGGAATACATTTAATATAGTGAAAATGTATTGAGGTTCAATATAAAAAGTAGAATGATTCACAGCAATGTTTTTCTTGACAAAATTGCTATCCTTCGTAACAAAAATACACATGTACTCTATCTCTCGGTACGTTTTTTTTGTGGCTCATCCGTCAAGCGACGAAGAATCACCACGTCAGGATCATGAAGTTTTTTGCATTTTCTCGAAAATCATTTCTAGTGTTGATTTAAATAATAATCCCTCGAAAAAGCTTCCAGATCGAGGTCTCGATGCAATGATTATCTAAACCTCATTTTTATCAAGAATAATTTKATCATATCCCTGTTCAAGTTTAAATCACTACTAGACGTGGCTAAGCCGAGTAGAATAAATTATTTTGGCAACGCTCACGTTATCATGGCAACCTTTTCCACGTTTCAAATTTATATCTTTAAGTACATGGATCATTTCTAGGCGGAATAAATGTCTCCTCTACGAATTCTCGAAATCTTTATAGTTTTTATTTTATTCTGGAGTTYTGTTAGACCTCGAGGTCTCCCCGAGACCGCAGCAGAAGATAAAATATCTGAAAGTAACAAGGAAATTACRAGAAAAAGAAGGTAGTTTGTGTAGATAAGCTTGCAATAGCTGTCTTTCCGATGTTCCCATAATTTTTGGAGCGTTGAATGGTTGAGTTGATGAATAAAGGAATAGACAAATAAATGAATGAATTGCGTTTAGTATCCATTTAATTTTCTGTATTGTTTTACAGTCATCTTCTGGTACACATGGCTCACAAGATGAACTTAGATGGAGAAGGCTTAAGGTGCAGTGTACTAAAACCACGSTTTACATGGCTTAATTAATCTTAAAAGATGTTTTTAAAGTTCAGAGCAAATTGCGAAGATTCATTCCCCTTATTTTAACAGGCATATACGAAAACACCTCATTGATATCGCTGGRCATGGTCACATGGTGGATGACATTATAGACATTCAAGACGGCGATAACATGAAAGGTCTGTAAAAAATATATCCCTTTTACGGAGGAGGGTCTTAGAAACTGCTCTGCTTTTAACCGATATGACTGCATTATCSTGAGCATTAATTTCGTTATTTGACTTTTACAATTTCAGGAATATTTTACTTTTTTCGACTCCATGACAGTGATAATAATGAGAAACTAGATGGCTTGGAGTGGTTAAAAGCACTCACTCATTTTGAYGACAAAGAATCCATTGATACTAGTGAGGGCAGTGAACAAAACTTTGACGAGAGTGAGGCTATTACAATAATTGATGAATTGCTGGCAAAACATGACAATAATAACGATGGGATGATTGACTTCCTGGAACTTATGAATACTAAAGTTGATTCTATTTTGAATGAGATGAATAAAGACACAGATGATACTGAACAACAACGCCAGCAAGAACAACAACAACAAGAACAACAGGACCAACAGAAACAAGAACAACAAGAACAACATGACCAACAGAAACAAGAAGAACAAGATGGACAACAGAATCATCAGCAAAATGACCAACGGAAACAGGAAGAACAACAAAAGGAACAACACAAACAGAACGAACAGACAAATGAAGAACAGCAGGATAAGCAGCAACAAGAACAACAACATGAAAAGCAATGGCAACAACAGGAGCAACAGCAACAACTGCAGCAGCAACAGGAACAGCATCAACAGCAACAACAACAACAGGAACAACTGCCACAAGAGGAACAAGAACAACAAAGTTAAACAACAATGAGAAAATCAACAAAGAGCAGCAGCAAATAAAGGAGCATGAAAGAAAATTAAAACATGAAAAAGATATGATTCATGATTTGTAGCAAATTGGTACTTATTGGAAATAMGTACAAATTCACATGACAATCTGTAACTCCTGTGCTTGGTCACTATATCAGTTCCGTTCTTTGATTTTCTTTCTGTCGTTGTTAAGCTTGTACAATGTACGCAAACAAACGTGATCACACAGCCAAAGTAACTGCATAGAAAGAGTACCACAGCCATTTCAATCTTAAACTGAGATAAAACTGATCCTTCATTCAGCCTCAGTCAGGAAGTAACTCCAGTAGGATTTTGATGGTTCTGGGATGTACCCATGCAGAATCCAGTGTGCAGTTTTCAAGCTTGAACAAAGAATGATACTATGTACAGCCACAGTAGCTCCAGTAGGATTTTGATGGTTCTGGGATGTACCCGTGCAGAATCCAGTGTACAGTTTTCAAGCTTGAACAAAGAATGATACTATGTACAGCCACAGTAGCTCCAGTAGCTGCTTGACTGCTCTGGGACACCATATGCTCCATGTAAAGTAAAACTGCCTGGTCCACTGTAGTAGGAGGGAGGGAGTGACTGGACTTCCTCATAATTTTCTACCATTTTCTTTGCTAATGCTTCAAAAGTTTCCTTGACATTTGTACTAGATTTAGCACTTGTTTCTATCCAACTTAAGCTGTAGAGGTCACAGAACTCCTGAAAAATGCATGAATACAAAATAGTTTTACTTTTTTGGAAAATTCTATTTCATATATAGTAGCATCGGATCTGGGAATACAAAATCCAAGCTTTATGTTCACTCTGTTTACTGCTTTATCATTGTTATTTTTTGTTTAAATAATGAATTGTTATCATTTGATATTATMATAATGTTATTATCTACTGTTTATAACAGGAAGGGGTAGTGGGCATTACAAGAACGAATAAGAATTGAATACTGCAACACTATAAAACTTGTGAAATCTTGGGATCATTGATATTGAGTAAATTAAATAAAAGGCTTGGCCTCTTTATCATTTACCATAAAATATCAGWGTAACTCAACCTCAACCTTCCTTATACCACATACAACACCTCAATTATAAAAGATCATCACTACAAAACCCTCATATCCTCCTACTGGGCTACAACTACACCCATATCTGCCCTACTTTACAGTGAAGAAGAATATCACTTACCTTAATCTCTTCATTTAAAATTGTTCTTTCTTCTTCTTTGTCACTTTTGTTCCCAACTATAATTACAATTGCCTCAGAACCACTGAAACAAATAAATGTTACATGAGTGGTGTGACTGCATTTMGTGTGCTTAGACTTCCATAGCCTCTCTCACAGGTGTCCTTAGTCTCGCCACGGGAATTCACTGTGAGAGGCTAAGACTTCCAAGGACTTAATGTGATTACTAGTTTGCAAAATTTAGTATTCCCACCTTTACTAACACTCAATCACAAGWCTTAGCAAATCAGACTTATAAGGATGAGTAGAGTATACCTTATCCTATGAAACTCTTTTAGCCAATATTCCTTGATTGACTGCAAAGATGACTTGGATGTCAAATCAAACACAATGAGAGCCCCTTGAGCACCACGAAAATATGACGTTGTCATGGTTTTATACCTCTCCTGGCCTGCTGTATCCCATAAGTGTARCTATGAACACAAGATATATCATGATTGGAGAAGAGTTAAAGGAAAGTCGTAGTCCAGACAAGGAGCCGGGCCTACTGGTTAGTAGTAAATTTATAGCATTAASCTTAAATTTTTCGCATGCTTTTGAGAGCGAGTAAACAATCGAAAAGTCAAGTGAAATCGTTATTTTGAAGAATAATACAACAAAGGAATATCGAATACAGCACAACTCAAAAAGTCGCGAGCTCGTCAAAAACATTAAGGGACAACACACCTGGACTTTTTTGCCGTTSAATTCCAAATCATGCACAAAAAAGTCTACTCCAACAGTTGTACAAAGCTTATGATCAAAAGTATYTTCATGATACCGTCGTATTAAGCTCGACTTTCCAACATGGACTTCACCAAGAATWAGAACTTTGAAGACGTAGTCCACGTCCGCCATATTTGTTTTTGGGGAATACACAGGAAGTCCAAAAATGAATGAAATATATTATGTCTCTAAAATTGTATGGAAAATATCCTTATCTCTAATGAAACATTGTTAAGAATGTTTTACGGAGGTTAGTTAATTCTTGTGCAATACACGTACAAATAGGAAGGAGAACAAACGAAAAAACATGTTTACTTTTGGGAGTCCTGTGTTATCAATGACGTCATTACTTTATTTTATTTTSAAGATGGCGACGAGCAAGTAGAAGAATTTACTACGTAAACATTGCGAATAATYCACTCTAGTTTTTCTTAAATATGATTCTTCGTAATTTCGAAAAGACCTTAAAGCTTCATTCCAATTGGTTATYTAACGGAAATATTAGAAAAGTAAAGGTAAAGTTGTTTAAATTCATGGAAGTTGACTGCAACAAATTGTTTATAGACAGTACAGCTGAAAGTCTGTCCCAAACGTTTAGTCAGAAACCATTATGATAGATGATTGTCATTTTGATGATTTGCTAAACATTATTTATGTTATCATTGAATATTAATTGAATGTGGCTTTACATCGTAGGTTGAACATGTCATAAATTCAARATGTCTTCACCAATTACAAAACCAAGACTTTCTAAACTCAGATAACAGTTTTCCTCTGAAGAATAATTCCAAGACAACAAACAYTGACCACCCCCACTAYGTCCGTTGCATTCACAAACCATTGGAAATCAATCTGGAAAAAACAGACTGTGTGAATGGCAATAGAAAATACTTATCCAAGTTTCCAAGCGTTACTACAATACTATCAAATACAAAACCATCAAGTGAGTTCTTTGGCTTAATGCAATGGAAAAAAGCTAACATTGAAAAACTTGGAAAAGAAAGGTTTAATGTTATGCAAAGAAATACGACGACAAAAGGAACACATTTTCACCAAGTAAGTCTAGCTAAGAGAATTTTACAGTTATGTAAAAAGATAAATTTAACACCGTAAAAAAGTATGTGGAATAACTTACTGACGTTTCGGTTAATCCTTCGTCGAATTTTAGTTGTAAAAAATCACATTTTTCCTAACTATAATATGTTTTTTTCTTTGAAAGGAAATGAAACATCATTTTTCCAACTTGAACGGAATGACACTTCCAGATATCAAGATTGAGAATTCAGGATTTTTCCAAAGCGTCAGTAATATTCTTCCTGATATGACCAATCCACTTGCCATTGAGAGTAGTGTGGTTCACTCACAGTTAGGTTATGCAGGGACAATAGATTTRGTTGCTGAATACTTGGGAAAACTCTCCATAGTTGACTGGAAAACATCACAGAAAAAGAAGACACAACTGAAAGACTGTCATTCGTATCCAGTGCAGCTTGCGGCATATGCTGGTGCWATCAATTACGATGATGATTATCCATTYCAGGTATAATATAGCAGTTAATAAACAGTGTTGAGGTYTTTACACTGAAACACTGGTTGATATCTTAAACAATACACCAAAKCCATAGTCTACAATCCCTTTCAAAGACCAAGGACAGTTTTCCACTTAACAGATYCACATTTTGYCAGTAAATATGCTCTTTTTGGGSTTTTGGTTTTGTTTAACTAAAGTTTCAATTCAGATAACATGCAACTAAACAGATTGTGAAAAAAAAACACTCTATACCAGAAAATGTGAGAGCTTGTGTTGTAGTAATACTTTCCAAAATACAATGGTGACATTTTTTCCTTACACATTGAGTAACTTTTTGATCATTTTCTGCATTTTATTAATATCAATCAATGTTTTCTATCAGGTTTCGCATGGTGTTTTGGTCATTGCCTATGAGAATGGTGACCCAGCTAATATTCATGTCCTGGACGAGCAAGTTTTACAAGAGTTTTGGGAAAAGTGGCTGCTAAGATTGGACAAGTACAAAGCCAAACATAACAATGAGGTTAATGGGGACATCAAAGGAAGTTACAACAAYGAACCCAAGGATATTAGTGCCAGTGGACCATTCAGTAACACATTAAAGSAGGGCACTAATTTGGATATCCTGATTGATCCCAATAAAAGTGGGACCAAGGAAGGTTGTATTGAGGCAAACAAGGAGCCAATTTCTTCTGTCTACTTTAGACCCATTGATAATGGGGCCAGGAAACAGGGGGTATCTAATCCATTGAATGGTGCCCTAAATTCTGTTCARAGTTATGGTAAACGATTACATGAAATTGGGCAAACAGTCAAAGATGAAGATGTGATTTCATCATGGAGAACATTGTCTGGTTTCATGGAGGGTGTCTTTGGTCAAGTATATTTATCTAAAGGGCTACTGTACACACATAACATCAGAACTTTATTTAACAACATGTTGTTTGGTAATAAACTAAAGAAGAAATAATGTGAAAAAGACATTTTAAAATGTACATATTTTTATACTAGTAAAGACATACAAAATTAGGTAGGTACAGTAAATTTCAAACAAATAGCTAATCTTATTTAACTTAACCTTAGTCAAAACGGCAGTATTATGACTGTGATATTAATGGCTTCTTTTGAAGATGCCCTTTTGAAGGTTTTCTAGTTGAAATACATCTTTATAATATATTTTTATAGAGAGAGGAAATAACCCTATTGTACAGTTTGCATGGCCATACAATTAAAGGATTTATACAAACCCTTTGTAATAAACAGATCRAACAGTATTGAATACTGACAAATTTTGTGTAACACATCTCAATTGTATTTTGAAATATGCATTTGCAATAATAAAATATGTTGAAATGAGGCTGTATAATGTCATTTCTTTGCAATAAAACTGTTAAGAGAAGACRTCAAAAARGGGAAAAGCAGCTTTGTCAGGGCAGAGAAGGTCAGTATAAAAGCATACTGTACCAGCAAGTCCTTCATATAAACTGTATGGACAGTCTGGTGTACGCGCTCCTTTCTGAAACTCCTCAGTTTGAATRAAGTCTGCAAACTTGTAAGCACGATGTAAATGCTTCTTGTCTCCTGTCAGTCTGTGAAGCAGCAGGAATACATAGCCATTTCCTAGTGCAATAAATAATATTAGCTTGGTTAGTTGTGCTGCGATGGTGGTGAAAGTATACTTTTCTAAAAGATTTCAAATAAGGTTACAAAGAGGTATTTCTTAGTTCCTTGCAAGACAAAAATGTTTCCTCTACTTTGTTTAATCTRTTTAGATATGTTCGACCTCTTTTGAGTCCTCCCACCCCATCTTTCTTTCTATTGTTATTTGTAACAATCACAAAATAATGCACCATGATTACCTGCAACACCATGGCAGATTCCAGGTCCCTTTTTTAGAAGTCCTTTTTCCCATACCACATCCCCACACCTTAGAGCAGCTTTAAGATATTTGTCATCCTTCCAGACCAAGTAGGCCTTGACCATCAAGTACACAACACCAGGAGCTCCATGACACCAGTGTACTAGTTCATTCCTGCCACCACAAGCTTCACCTAATGCTGGAGGGTAGTTACCATGTTGTTCCTGGTCAAGCATGAAGTTGACTGACTTAGAAATGATGTCTTCATCTGAGGTGTTTTTATAGTGTTCAGGGAAGCTTAGAAGCATCTGTAAAATGGCCGACAGCCCRTGMGCTGCTCCTACAAATGAGTTTGAAAATAAATATTGTAGCTGTATTTGTCTTAATCATTAACACAATAATATGAAGTAAAATTGTTACTAGAAAATTTCATATGCATTTGAAACAGCATTTCCTATATCATCTGCCAGCATCTTGGGCTTTCTTTGTAATGAGTTTAAAATGGCAGAGAGGGAACTGAGAATGAGAAAATGTTATTGTCTCATTCTCACAATGTCGTACACAGGAAACCCAAGATAATCACAGTAATGACTAGTGGAGTGCTAAGTATTTCCATGGTTACCTAGGTACTCTGTATCATAGTATGCATACATTAAAGACTGATTGCCATGGTGATGACGCTGTGCATATTCTTTACCACAAGAAACCATACTGCGAAATAAAGCCTGTGTTACTTCCTGTGGAACAGCATGGGGCTTAAGTTTCTTATTTAACTCTAAAACACCACTCAAATAGCCAGCTCGACCAATCAGAAGCTCATCTGAGCCATATGGGAAGAAATTGACTGCCTTGCAGATATGGTGCATTTCCAGAAACATCCTATAATAGTCATTTCTTTCTTTCTCAAGACCTGGAAATGCAAATATTTTATTTATGAATAATGGTATCCAGGTTCATGTGCAGGAGTTCATGAGGGGAGTTTCCAGCTAAGATATCCAACTATTGACTATCTGAAAATGAGGTGCCCTATTAATTTGGAAAATAAAGTGTCATATTTCAAAAAAAAAAGTCTGGCAAGGAATGAGGGTTACCTGCGGAATGCCTGCTTTTTTTAGCCTATTGTTATCACAGAGTTCTCACCTAAAGCATGATAAACAAGCACTGACAAGGTGTATATTCCAGAATGACCAAGAAGAAATGAAGCACCAATACCACAATTACTTTGAGGTGAAATCCTGGAAGCGTGTTCTTGTGCTGTCTGAAGAAGATATTAAATGCAAACATCTGTAGTAGCAGCGCATGAATAGAAAGTGTGTTTATTTCGCTGTTTAATACTGTCCTGTTAACACTTTTCAGTATAGTGCTTCTTATTATTTGTTTCACCGATTAGGTCCGCACTCTACCATGTATATAAGTTACCAATCATCATTATAAGCTTAATCATCATCAACAATTTGCATCATCACTTATAATTCAAATGTCAAATAACATAGTAGGAAAAAGTTACCTTTAGATACTCTAACGCCTTTGTTAGCAGATGCTGTCTTTGCTCTGGAAACAAGCCACTTTCAGCCACATGATAGAATGCATATGCGATCCCAGCTGGTCCGACGTACAGCCCGCCATCTTTGTTGTGTCGACATTGAGGAGGACAGTGTTTCTCAATATGACTTAGTACTTGCGGGATTAAGCCACGTACATAGCTTATGTCTCCAAGTGTACAAGAAAAATCTGGAAATTTATTTATAAAATATCGGGAAGAATGCATACCAGAAGCGGAGAACTTGACACTGCAACTTGTTTACAAAATGAACTACTACACAGGGAACCCAGAGCTCAACGGTGATTCGATTGTGAAAAACATAAATTTTTCTCCGATGGATACATCATAAATCACTCGTTTTTCAATTCTTAAACAAATCTCATATATGTATTTTTTCGATTATTTTTTTTTTCGAGTTGTCAGGCTGTCGAAACTAATCGAAAAGACTTCTGTCGGAAATCTGTCGTAGAGCTGTCGACAAATTGTCGGTACATGAACAACAGCTGGTCAAATAGACTGTGGTCTCAATGTCAACAACATTTTCTTGTTGTCAGATGCCGAGTAACGATCTTTGAGAGAAATTCATATTACAATGAAACATTGCCCCTGCAGTTGAGTTTGCCTACAATTCAAATATGCCTGAACCGCCGGAATCTCATCTTAAAGAAAAAGTTCAAAAATTGGAGCGTCTATTGAGGGTATGAAGTTGAGACCAAGTGTTCCTTTGATTCTTTGTTGTTCATCATCTCGAACAAAATATCCAACGTTTTGTTTATTTGTTAGGCCAGAGAAGAAAGGATTGTAGCTCTAGAGACCGAAAATGCTATGCTTTACCTTAAACTCGCAGAGGTAAGAAGATTATAGATTAACAATGCAGAATTTATAAAGTGCGCAAAATTGCGCGCGCTTCGTGCAGACTTTGCTTCGTTGATACCTCCTAATCCTAAGCGAACACGAAACATCCTCAACGATGATTATTTGTGAAAAAAGCTGTAATATTTAGTATTCAAACCCATATATGTAGCTAAGAAATGGGTAGAAAAGTTTAGTTATATTGTTGTACATTGATATTTATTAATAAATAAGTAATACATTGTAATTGCTATATTCCAGTGTCAAGGAACGGTGCGGTCCTCAAGATTTGAATCAAATCATTTTAGAAGGCTATTTGAATTTGAAGAAGGTTTTCGAAAAAATATCACCAAATCCCATAAAGTACTCTTCAAAGAAGTTCAGGTAATCAAATTATACACCTTCTATGACGTGACTATATTATAGGTTTGCGGTGCCAATCGTGCTACCATTGTGCGTTATGGTAAAGTTTCAGATATAAACAATACCATTGATAAGAGATGTTTGTACTTAATCTAGACCACAATGCAATGCATAAGGCAATTTCTGACGTTCCCATTCATAAATTCCACTCTCCCCTCCCCCATTTGGAAGGTCTTGTTTGTATTTTTTCACAAGAATGGTAGACCACACATTTTATGGTTTGGTCATCAAGACTTGAAAATGTGATAACTCTGTAGTTTGTTTTAAGCACTGTTTTGTCACTAACCAAACTCTCTTACTCAAAAGACTTTGAAAGCAAGCTTAGAAAAACTACGTTCATTTGTGAAAGAATTACCTAAACACTTTGCTGAAGATCTTAAGAAAGCACAAGACTTGACCCATAAGTATGGCTCAGAGGGGATGTCAAACTTAGAAGGTTAGTAATGTTTTGAACAACTACTTTAAATATTAGTATATCCCTTACATAAAGAAATGAATACATGTTACAGAAATGCAAACCAAGTTGATGCAGGCAGAATTAAAGTTGGATGATGCTCTACTGAAAGCCGCAACTGAAAAGAACAGAAGAATGACCTTGCATAATACGTTAGTGGTAAGTGATTTTTGTTATTAGTATTTAGTATTAGTAATTGTTCAATAATTCATTAACTCATATTACATTAGGAAATCCGTGGCAATATTCGTGTACATTGCCGTATCCGTCCTCTCATTGTTGGTATAGACTCCTCAGATGAAGCATCTCTTGGGAAAGGTGGAACTCCATCAGAGCAAGTAGTGAACTATGTTGATGAAGAGACCTTGTCATATGTGTCTATCAAGTCTAATGGCGAGCGGGTTATGAGCCAAAAAGAATTTGAACATGTTTATAATGTAAAAGACAACCAAGGAACTGTATTTTCAGATGTCAAACCTCTGTTGACTTCCCTGTTAGATGGGTATGTTTTGATGATTACCATTGTCTGCATTGCACTTACACCATCTAGATAACAGACTCTTTTCAAAAGCAAAAATTATCCAAATTTATACAATAATTATTGTTGAACAGTTATAATGTTTGCATCATGGCATATGGTCAAACTGGGTCAGGAAAAACACATACCATGTTGGGTAGTCATGATGTGGACATTGATATTGACTCCCAGGAACTCAACAAAGATGAAGGGATCATACCAAGGGCTGCAAAGGAGATTTTCAGGTTTGTTATAAACGTTTCGTGTCCTGCAAGAAAGTGGTAGAGTCAGGTTAAACTCCATTTCTTGAAGTTAGTGGAGATGTGGGGAAGTGAAGTGTGTGTAAAATAAGCAAAGGATAAGTCGGAAGGAATAGATAGAAAACTTTAGTTCTGATTGTTCTGTGTTGGCATTTTTAGCCTTATAGCAGAGAGAGAAACAAAGACAGACAGCCATTCAGTTGAGATGTCAGTTTGTGAAATCTATAATAATGAAGTGCGGGACTTACTGGCACCAAACAAGACAGAGAAGGTAAGTACTGTATGTAAGCCTTGTACAGAGTATCCCTCTTCCAGTCAAATTAAGGCAGTTTGAAGAAGGTTTTCCAGGAATTTCCCAGGAAGACAAAACTGGTTGACTGCAAAGAATTATGCTTGAAGAATAGCCTGGACATGAAGCTAATTGTAGATTAATTATATTTTTAACTAAGTTGTATGGCTTTTTTTAGCTTAATATCATTACAAGTAGTGATGGTGACACGGATATACCATCTCTAGTGACTAAGTAAGTATTTGACGTTATTTTGACATTAAACTTTGAATATTTTCAATAAAAGAAAAGTTAAGATTATTCAGTGGTATGTTATGTGTATTTTGTGAAAGTCACTATCTGAAAATTTATTTTCCAACCAATCCTTGTTTGTGTTCTATTTACGTCTAGACCCGTGAAGAACTTTGGTGAAGTAATGAACCTGGTGTATTATGGGATGACGCGACGACATGAAGATGCCACGATGGTGCATGCGCACTCCAGCCGTTCTCATCTTATTGTCCAGCTACAGGTATATTCCATGAATCAACAGGCCACAGCATCACGTGTAGGAACGCCCAGTTCAGAGGCTGCGCCATCACCTCCAGGAACTCCGACAAGATCACGAAGAAACTTACCTCAGCCGACTAATAATCGATCTGGTAGGTCGCAGTCCCCTGCTCCTAAGACGTTTACGCGGCGTGGACGATCAAAGTAAGAAATTCAGTTGTTTTTTGTTGTCGAGATAGTGATACCTTATCATCGAAGATCTTCAAAATGAGTTTCCGTTTCCAGGTCACCTGCTCCTGGTAGTGCAGCAGCTAGATCCAGGTCCCCATCTCCTTCAAGGTCAAGCACAGGAACTCCACCGCCAATTTGTACAACAGTCAAGACTAAGCTTCAGTTGGTAGACCTGGCTGGAAGCGAGTGTGTAGGTGGGTTGATGGCTGTGTGTTTTTTCAGTTTTTACCAGTTATTGATAACATAGTTCCTTTTAAGGTTTGTCTGGCGTGACGGGAGCAGCGTTACGCGAAACGTCATTCATCAATAAGAGGTAACGCAATATTCAGTACTGTAACGTAGTTTTATATCATATCGATATATTGATAATACGTCTATATTGATCAGTGAACTCGCCTTTCTATTTCTCGCTCGTGATTTTTCGTTAGGTGTTAGATGATCATTCTTAAACGTTTTTGATATTTTTTTGCAGTTTAAGTGCTTTGGCTGATGTACTTGGTGCTCTTGCTGAACATCGATCACATATACCATACAGAAACACAAGACTTACACATATGTTACAGGATACAATAGGTACCATCTAGTTCTCCCTCTTCTTCAAACGCTCCTTCTTAGCCTCTGCTCCTTGCAATCTACGGGGATTTTAATCGCTTCACTCTGACATCCTCAAAACCCCATATACTAAAAGCTAACACTAGATGCATTAGAAAATGTCGTTAGTTCCCTTTTTCAATGCTTTTCTTTCTTTCACTTTCTTCCTGTGTTCTCTCATTTCCGTCCATTTCATTCTTTCTGTACTTTGTTTTCTTTCGTTACATTTCCGTCCATTTCATTTTCGTTTTAGGTGGAAACGCTAAACTGCTGGTCATGTTGTGCGTATCGCCGGCTCAGAAGTACATCACCGAAACTCTGCAGTGTATTGGTTTCGGGTCACGTGCCCGTCAAGTCGCGCGTGGTCCCGCCAAGAAACGACGTCCAACTTCGTTTGTTCCGAACAGCAGTCTCTCGATAGGTAATGAAAACTCCAGTCGAAATCCTCTCGCACAGTTTAAACAAAAAGTCACGAAGGCACAGACTGCATATGCAGTGCTGAAAAAATGGCAATCTACTTAACCTCTGAATTATAGTTCTGGCGTCATTTTGCATCACAACTAGTGACGTAATTCATAATAAGATATGTGTTATCTTTAAACACTGTTAATATTGTTTAATTTTGCAGTAGTTTATACACAGATTCAATGTTGCTTTCGGGTGAAGTACACAACAATACTAGCATTTTCTGTCATTCTTGGACGACATTTTGCTATCCATGACGTCATGTTATATGACGTCATCTTTTTGTCTGACCTCATTTTGCATAATATACAAATATTATAAAGATAAGAATTAAGAGCTTGAACATATTTAAACATAAACATTTAATTTTTTCACTTGCATGTAGTAAAAATAATAATAAACAGCTAAATGATAGATTAAACTATGAATTATCTTAAACATCAATAAAATCATTTAACATCACAATAAATTGCATTTGAATTCACTTTCATTGAGCTTTTGCTTTCATATTCTATCCAATTCATCTTTGTTTCCCATCTTTTATTTTTCCATTCCCTTTTAATTCTACATATCCTTCCAGGACCTCTTCATTCTTATAACGTCCTTTGAGAACAACCTTCCATCTGAATGGACTTGATCCATTATCCCATTTGSAAACCCTCATRTAACAAAAMAGATATCTAAAAGAAAATTCTTCACTAGTTGTCATCACTTGTACAGRCGTTTGTTTTGACTTCAGCACATATGASAAACGRCATTWAATCTGGCCTRATRSCTCAGTTTGTTTGTCTTTTTTCCAATGTGCACCTATTGAACTTTACCGCATCTATATTCCTGCATTAACRTGGTATTGCRAAAGCGTCTTTTTGTTACTTTGCAAGATGAAGTACGGTATGGCATATATTGCATTATAAGTTGACCGAAAAGAAAATTTCACTAAGACCAACGTTTTTGACTTATGAATTGTTATATTCAACAAATACAATCTCCTCAGTACAAAAAGTCATTCATTACCTTGGGACTCAATCCCTCGTACTATCCGATACTCTTTCTGTCAATAATCTGATAAATGGGAATATKACAAAAATTCCTCGCATTTTTTTCCTTTGCCGGACGTACGGAGAACTTGTACTTTGATATTAATTTCATATCTCTAAAACTTTGTCCTAAACTTGAATAAACACCAAAACTAACTTCAAATATCACTTAATAATCTACAAATTAAATGCAAAAGGTAAAAGCAAATCTAATAAGGATCTTTAGATAGAATCAGTTATTTCATATGGCGAGGAAGTTATACTTTTGATGTAATTTCTCAAAATGAGCAGCTTTTAACTGTCAAAACTGTCTAAATTGTCCATGACGGAGTGCCATATTAGCGGATTATCGGGTCTTACTGTCGGTTTCGCTGTAAAGC